AGGAACGGTGGGCAATTTGCCCATTGGCGCAACGCGGAGAATAAGGGCGCCAGTTTGGCCCGTGAACACTGGGCCGCGGGCCATAGAGCAGAGGCGGGCGGATCGCGCTGCCGCGACGGTTGCAGAATGGCCCATCAAAGCGCCTTCCTAAAGCGGCAGTCATGCACTGCCAATCCTGAGCCCCGCACTTCAAAGCGTCAGGCTGCCCAGCGGGCGCGCACTCAGCCCTTCGATGATGCAAAAGCGCTCGGCTGCCCCGTAATTTCCTGTCTGGCTTATCTCGCCAGCAGGATAGTGTGGTTTTTTTTACTCCACATGGCTGGGACGCCAGATAATCGACTGGGCGCGTGAAATACGGCTGCAGCTGCTAGTCCGGGCGCGTCCATGCGCACCGTCCTTATCGCCGGTCAATTTCTCGACCAGAATAATATCCGCCGCGCTGTTGCAAGAAATCCACGATTGCTCTGGCGCACCAAGCCAGGCGCTGGCAGCAGCAGGCAATTCCCTCTCGCCCTCTGACGTCAGCAGTGGCAATCGTTTTTACATGGCATTTGCCCAGGAAGGACGCTTCACAGCGGGATGTGCAACGTATGCAGCGCTGGCAAGTCCTGCGACTGTACGCCTGTCGGACGCGCAAGCAGCATGCGAGCTTTTTATGGCAATCAGCCCACACCCCACCCACAAAAACCTACGCCAGCACCAGCTGGCTGGCACCGCACAGGGCTATACCATGAGAATTCCTTCTGTGTATCGGCAGGCGACCAGGGCGGGGCGCGCTGTAGAGCGGAATCAGGAGCACTCGTTTTTCTGGGTGCGGCACGCACAGGAGCATGCTTGTGCATAATCAATAGCCCGTTCGGACCCTCTCAGCAACAGTCATGCCAGGTTTCTGCCCAGGAGCAAGATGGACGTCTTCTTCATTTTGGGGGAGCGAGCGAGGCCGGAGATAGGAGGCTTCAAGGCCGCCGAACAAGCTCCTGTAGAGGAAAAAAAAATCAGGTTCAACAAGAAATTCTGCCTCCATATTCATCCGGATCGCCCGGCTTATTTTATTATCAGGAAACTACGTGTAGACCATTCGGCAGCGAGCCCGCTTGATTTCATAGCCCCTCTGCCCCTAGCCAACCCTGCACTCTCTTCCCACTACATGACACGACATGGGGCCATCAGCCGTGGTAGATATTCGCCGCCTGGACGATGTGCGAAGGCAGCAGGCGCTGAGCAAGGATGGCTTTGTCGGCGGAGCGCTGTTGGGGAAGCTGCGCGTGGCTAGTCGGACAGAGCAGCTGGCCACTGAGCCATTCCACCTGCCCGCTGGATCCATCGTGCTGGTCGACTCCTGTGGAGCGCAGATCCGATGCTGCGCTGTGGATCCCCACCCATCATGGTTTGCTGACCACGTATATGTGCTGCTCACATGCTGGCGGTACATCCCGCCGCCTCGCCAGTTAAGCGGCAGAGAGCGCCTTGCCTGGGCATATATAGAGATCCTGGCTGACCCCGTACTGGTGCCATCGCAAATGGACATGTCCAAAAACAAGCAGCCGTACTCATGGTGGACCGCTCAGCAGGTCCCTGTGCCCGACACTACGGACCTGATCCAATCGGCAATTCGGGTATCGCCTCCTATCAGTGCAACCCGTGGGGCACATATATTGCAACAGGCACAGCGCAGTCCAAGTCCGGACCCAACGCACCACCACAGCCATTCTGTATATGGGCGAGTTGATGCAATGGGGTCGCTGCTAGTCACCGCATCGGAGGACGTTGGGTTTTTTGTCTGCATCGCCGTCGAATCATCGGCCATGGGCCCAATTAGCAGCTTCTCAGTGCTACTGGTTGGTGCGCGATTTCTGGGCCTCTTTGCGTCACTGCGCGTCGGCGACTCGCTGTTTGTCGACCATCTGCGTGCCAGAGCGCCCTTCGCTGAAAGCGATCACTCGCAGGCAATCTTCATTACATCACTCGACTCCCAGGCATTCCGCATCGAGGAGTCTGTGGCTTTTGTTTGGAGCGACCAGCAGCCCCCGTCGCAGCGGTCGTCGCACTTTACGCAGTCCTCACAGAACATGCTGCTGGAGCAGATTGCCGATAGCTCGCAGAGGACAGACACGTCGCAGGCACCGGGAAATTGGGCTTCGCGGCCTGAGCGCGTGCCAGCTGGACCGCCCTTAAACACATGGCGTGACCCCCACTTGTTTGTGAACCAGGGCAAGCTTGAGAGCTACGCTGGGGTCGTAACCAGGGTTGTCGACCTGGTGCTCGGCATCTACGTCATCGATGACTGCCATATGCTGATCCTCACATACTGGCCGCTGCTGTCACCGCTGACGGTTCTGCGGACAGGGACAAGAATACTGGTGGAGAACTCGCATATCATTCTTTTGTCAAACTCGGCTGGCTACCAGTGGGAGTGGATCAAGCGAGCACTGCCTGCCGACACTGCCGAGCCCAGCAAGCAGCGGCTGCTGGTTTTTGGTGCCTGCGCACGGACGTCTGTGCGGGTCACCGACTTTTCTGGCACCGGCAATTCTGCTGCCATGGCAACGGCCATTGACAGCGAGATGGCGTCTTTGCTGGCGAGAAACGCGCAAGGGCTAGTGCAGATGATTGAGACGGCAGAGGCGTACTGGAAGCTCAGCAAAAAGTTCCCTCGCGGCATGGTGGCGGGCCACGATCCGCAGGCTGATGGCAAGCTGATACGCCGGGAGCTGCTCGATTCTGCCATGCGCTGGGCTGGCGTGCCCCCTGTCGCTGGAGCCCCTGCCATGTCGAGGAACCTGTACGCAGAATTCCTCGCCCACGACGCCAGCTGCCGAGCTGAGACGCCACGGTCGCACTTTCCTACCCGCATCGTTGTTCTGAGCGACGTCGTATCGCGCTTCATCGAGTGGAGCCGGGAGAACCTCTCGGGTCTGCCTCTTGCACCTGCAGCAAGCGACGAGGGCATGGCAGAGTTTAGTGTCAGCCACGTCAGCCCCGAGGATCTTCAACAAACGACCACGGCTCTGGTAGGCCGGCTCACCTTGGATACCCGCGGATCGCTGTACCTGGCAGACGCAACAGCGAGGATCCGGGTCCATCCGGACGCAAGCTGCATTGACGACACTCACCGGGTGCTCTTCCCGGGCCAGGCACTGATCGGCCATGTCGCTGCATGGATGCACTGGCAATTCTCCGTCGAACGCGTCGCCAAGCATGGCGTCAATCCCTTCGACCTCGTATATGCGGCCGCTTCTTCGCCAGTACTCCTTCACTTTGACACATCGTTTGGCCATGCGATCAGCAGTGATCCTCTGCTGAGCTCCGCCGAATGCCTCCTTGTAGTAGTGCATGCACGTGGCAATGCAGCGCCAGTAAACAGGACACGCCATGTGGATCCCGAAGGCGCAAAAGTCACAGAAGCAACTGACAGCCAGTGGTCAATGGGATACACTGCAAAGGGCATTGCTGTTCCAGTCACCAAACAGGATGCGCAAACCGTGCTGGCATCTTTGGGCGGTGAAGTAGACGAGCCCTTTGATCTTGGCGATATCCCTGCCGCCAGCGTTCGGAGGTGCCTGCTCATGGTTGACTTCAAGCGCCAGTCTGTGCTGCTGGCCCCTGGCAGTGCCTACCTCGTCTGCATCAAAAGCGCAGCATCGCTGCAGTATGTGCGCAGCGGCGACAGCGGCCAGCACGAGCAGGTCTTGCTCATCACACTTGACTCTGCCGACTCGGCGATCCCAGTGCAGGCTGAGTTTAGGGCTAGCGGCAGTCCAGCGGACCTGCCGTGGCAAACAGTCAGCGTGGTGCCGTTCATTGTAGACGTCTCGACACAGCCCGTACACCTGCCAGCCGTGCAGTGCAATGTCACCACCGATGCTGCAGCGGTCCTGAGCCTGATCAGTGGCCCCAAGGTGTACTCTGTAGCCGAAGTGCTGCAGGCCAAGGACGGGTGCTCGCCAAATAGCCTGATCACTGTACGCGGAACGGTGGTCGACCGCAGTGTGTCCGGCATTGTGTTCCTGGAGCCGCTTTTACCCGAGCCGAATATGGTGGCAGACAGCGCATCGCCTCGACCAGTCTCGGGCGTGTTCAGTAATCGCATTACGCTATGTGACGAGGACAGTCCAGAGCAATCCATCCCTGTCTACCTCAAGCTTGCCAGCTTCTCGCACCCGCTTGCAGTGGTGCAAGGCGCTCGGTTTGTGGTCCACGACCTGATCGTCAGTGTGTCGCAAACGCGCAAAAGCATCTACCTGTCAGGCACGCTGTCAACGTTTGCCCAGGCGATCGTGCCACCGCTGCAGCAGGCAGACCTCTCGGGTACACCTTCATCAGGCGGCGAACGGCCATCCCAGAGCACCACACCAGCACGCCGGTGGTGCATTGGCGACCTGCACATGTCGTCTGCAGCAGACCGTGCATACCCAGTAGAGCTGATCTGCCAGATCACCAAGATCGAGCATGTGGCTATCTCTGTCGCGTGCCGTAAATGCAAGCAGCGTGTTTGCGCAATGCGCTGCTCGTGCCCAAGCAAGCGACACCGGCTGTCGTCATCGGCATCTGGCCAGACGATCGCTTGCATCACCGAAGCGTGCTGCTGGGCCACGGACGGTAGCGGGATTTCATGTCTGGTACTGAGCCGCAGGTGCGATGTTGCCCTCATGCTCGGCATGACTGACCAGGACTTCGACGGCATATGCTGCTCAGCTGCCCAATCGTGGAATGGCCAGCTCATGTGGAATCCGCAGTCAGACCACTCGCCAATTACTGCAGCTGCCAGTCGCGCAGTGGCAAGCAGTAGGCGCTTGCGTGTTGTTGGCTGGGCAGAGGCAGCAGCAGACGGCCCGCAGGCAATCAGACAGCAGCCGCTGCGGCTCAACCGCCAGAATGTGCTCGTGAACCAGCGAACCCCGCCCCGAATTTCTGTGCGCTCTGTGTCCAACATCAACACTCTGGACATGTGCAGCAGGCTACTCAAGGATCTGTATAGCTCTTAGGACCGTCAATTTTACGAACAAAATGCAGATATATTGATAACCAAGCAAGTACAAGCAGCGACCCTCCTCAGTCAGACTCGTCGCCGAGCTCTGCCTCTGAGTTGTCCTCGTAGTCACTCCCATCGATCATCCTGCGCACTGGATCGTCCATGCCGTTGCCTGACTTGGCTGGCTTTTGCGTGTTCTTGCTCGTCGTCCTCGGAAACGCAACATTGGGCGACACAGCTGCAGGGTTCGGGCCACCCAAAGCCTGGTCTGACGATGCTTCCTTGTACTTGTCGAACGGATTGATCGAGGCGTCAGACACAGCTCCAAATCCAGACGACTTGCTGCCGAATGTCCCCATCGCTGCACCAGCAGTAGGCGACACAATGCGCTTCACTTGAGTCATTGATGCCACGCCAAACGCTGGCTTGCCGAGTTTCGAGCCAAACTCTGGCATGCGTGTCGTCCCGGCTGTGCTCGAGAATGCGTTGGGCAGTCCGGACGTGCTGGTGTCCGTTGGAGCAACGACATACTTGGGGCTTCCTCCAAAGCTGCCCATGTTCCCAAATGCACCCTTTTTGAACACACCCGACGAAGTACTAGGCGCCGCCGCCGAAGGCTTCTGGCCAAACGCTGATGGCTGGCTGAAGAGAGACGACTGTTTGAAAAGAGACGATGCGCCAGGAGCTGGTGATGGAGACATGCCAGGCGGAGGCGTCTCGGCAGCAATATTCGGCACGTCGTCGTCGTCGCTTTCCCCGACTTCTTCGGTATCTGCATCAGACACCATATTTGCCGCTGCATCATCAAGGCTCGACGAAATGGCATCCATACCAAACAGCGCTGCTGGTGCCGACTCTGCCCTGAGATCGGCCTGGGATATGCGGCCAGTGCCATCAAAGCTGTCTGGGTGTGACAAGAATTCGAAATCATCCGACGGCTGCGATTCATCGACATCAGCTTCTGTAGCAATGTGGCTCATAGGCTGTTCCGCAGCATCATTTTCGACGGATGCCGCATCCAGTACATTTGCAGACCCACTCTCAACGATGCCCTCCACAGCATCACTACCCACCTGCTGGCGTGCGTGCTCCGGTGCCTCCAGCACAGACGACGAACAGATAAGTGCAGGAACTGCGGCAGCAACAATATCCTCGACGGAGGCACCACGAACTAGCTGACCGACATCCACGCGCCCCAGCTCTGACAGCTCATTAGTCTGCTCTGCGCTGCTTTCGCCAGAAGCATCAGCAGTTTCCTCAACCTGGCTCTCTGCCTGCTGGCTGACATGGATAAAATCGTCCGATTCATTATCTGACGCAGTCGAATCAGTGCCCTCTGTGCCCTCTGTGTCCTCCTTGGCCTCCTTGGCCTCCTTGGCCTCCTTGGCCTCCTTGGCCTCCTTGGCCTCCTTGGCCTCCTTGGCCTCCTTGGCCCCAGACTCCGTCTTGGATTCCGCGACGTCGGCCAGCTGTGTAGCGTCCTCGCTAGTGGCCACATCTGCAGACGGCTTCTGGGCGCCATTAGCGGCATCGTCCCTCTTGATGGTCACATCGACTCCAGTGCAAATAGTATCGTTGGCGCCAGGCTGACCAGCAACCTCAGCAACTGCCTGCTCGAATACAGCAGCAGCATCGTCCTCACTGCCCACATCAGCAGCAGAGCGAAGTGCCGATCCAACTACGTCCTCAACCAAAGCACCTGCAGTAGCATCAACGGCTCGAGCCTCTTCAGGAACAACCTGATCCAAACAGCTGTCCTCGGCAACCTTCTGTTGCTCAGCTGCTAGCGACTCGTTGGGAGTGCTGATCTTGTCGTAGTCAGCGTTTAGCTGAACATTGGCAGATTCAGAAATCTCCAATGCAGGCTCGCCTTTGCCTGCTGGCAGCGCCAACTCTACAATATCCTCAACCTTCGCCTTCTCAACAATTGGCAAAGTAGCAGGCGTGTCGCTGTGCTTGTCTTGCGCATCGCTGCCAACTGTCAATGCCGATTTGGCAATATCCTCGACCCTTGCGCTCTCAACAGTAATCGCAGCCGATGGTACCTCCACTCTGTCGAGTCCAGCCTGTGCAACCTTTCCCTGGCTGATCCGGTCGTAATCAGTGTCCAACGGCGCAGCTTCAGCCAGCGCTGGAGACATTTGCACATCCTTGGTAGGTGCCGGCCATGAAGCAGAGTCCTGCTTAGACTCCTCGCCATCCGATTCCGCTGGTTCGTCAGTGATGTCCTCAGCCTGGCTCTCTGTCTGCTGACTAACATGGGCAAAATCGTCCGATCCACTTTCCGAATCCTGGCTTTCCTTTTCTTGATCCACTTCACCACCCACCTCAAGCACGTCCGCATCAGCATCAGCCGTCTTGCCTTCATCCGGTGCACCAACATCCTTCGAATCCTCCTCGATAGTAGGCTTCTCTGCACTGGGCGGCACGAATCCACGGAACAGTGGTGTGGAGATACCAGCACCACTTGACCCAGGTACACCCGCATCAGCATCAGCCGTCTTGCTTTCATGCGGTGCTGCAGTGTCCTTCGAACTCTTATCTGCAGCAGCCTTCTCTGCACCAGGCGGCACAAATCCACGGAACAGTGGCATGGAGATACCAGCACCACTTGACCCAGGAACGCCTACACCGGTACCAGTGGCCATGCCTGCCAGCGAGGTTACATCCTGCCCAGCGGCAGGTTTCTCAGCCCCAGGCGGCACGAATCCAGGGAACGATCTCTTGAACCCGCCAGTATCACTGAGTGTGGCCTGAAACACCGATGTGTTGCTGGTCCCAAATTGCAATCCACCAGTAGGTTTAAAGCTGCCAAATGAGGGCATAGCTGGTGTGCCAGCCTTCGTCGCCTCATCGGTAACCGCTCCAGGCTTTGGCGCTTCGCAGACGATGCACTTGGATGCAGAGTTAGGGCTGAGCAGGTCGCATGTCGAACACTTCCACTTGCCATCCTCGACCGCCGCCACCTTGAAACCACTGGCTGACAGAGGTGTAAAAGCCCTCTCCGTTGCATCTGCAGCATCCGCCTTTACCGCAGGCTTGGGTTCTTCGGATTTGGCCTCGCTCGTCGCTGAGGGCTTTGGTGCATTGCAGCGACTGCATTTGCTCCAAGGGCCAGTGTTCGACATGCTGCACTTCTCGCACTGCCAAACGGTGCCTGCTGGGAGATTGGGCACAGGGCTGCTGAACGCTACCGTCTTGGAAGCCACAGCCGGTGCTGATGCAGAAACTGGCAGCATGAACCGCTTCTCAGCGCCAGCCATGAAGCCCTTGGGTGAAGGCACGGCCGGTGCAGCGGTGTCCTTTGCCGAGTCTCCATCTACAGGCTCCTTGCCACCATCGCTCTCGGCTGTCTTTTTCTGCCTTCCCTCTTGCTCCTCCCCAGACTCGGATTCTGCGCTCTGCTCCCCATCCGACTCCTCCTCAGTCTCTGTCTCAGACTCCCCCTCAGTCTCTGTCTCCCACTCCGTACTTGGCTTTTCCTCTTCGTCATCTTCGTAGTCGGAAACCGGTTCGACCTGCGGCCACTGGGCACCATCTGCCTCAGCCTCTTCTACTGCCTGCTCAGAATCGGAAGCCTCCTCGTAGTCAGATTCCAGACCGGCACCCACCGTTTCCCCACCATCAGGATTCAGCCTTCCAAAAGCCTCGACATACCGCTCCATGTTTGGCATGAGCAGCGGCTCTGGTACTATGCTCTCCTCGCCGTCCATTGCCAGATACCGTGCACTCTTTGGCGTCTTTGCGATCAGGACGACTGCTGCGCTACGCGCGTTACCAGTCAGGGCCTCACTCACCAAGGCACGACGGCGTCGAGCCTGGATAAACGCTGTTGCTGCAGATGGCTTCGACACCTTGTTGCTGGCGTCTCCAGTAGCCATCAGCTCGAGATTTGCTATCTCGCTATCGGGAACCAACGACTGGCGGCGAGTGGGCTTAACCGAGCGACGCGTCAGTGTGCGCACTCGCGTGTGCAGATAGTGCGGATTCTGCGTCGGACTTCTGATCGGCGTACGCAGCGGGTCGGCAGACTCGCCTTCATCAGCAGCAGCAAATGGCAGCGTGTGTGGCGACCAGGGCTGGCCGTCGGTAGCAGCCCGCAGCGGGGCTCCCGTATCAGCCTGCGCGCGAGTCGCGATCACCTGGTCCAGAGTTTCACGCGCCATGCGCGAGCTCCTCTGGGCCTCCTCGGCCGACAGCTCACTCACCTTCATTTCGTTGAGCTCCATGGCAATCCTATCGAGCGCATCCTTGTTCGTGGCCAGCGACTTGTCGATGCTCTTCATCTTTCGATCGATCGATTCGGGCGATGGGCCAAGCAGGCTGCTACCAAGCAAGCCATCAGAGTACTGGCGATTGGCCTCCACAGCCTCAACCAGCTCCCTAGCGCGCTCCGAGCTGTCCTTGATGGCAGTGAGGTTCTTTTGGAGGCGCCTATGGATTTCGCGCTGCAGCGGGTTCATTCCGCCATCGACAGTCGCATTGGGCGCTGCACGCATCGAATTGGCAGACTCCAGAATGCGCTTGATCTCACTGCCGCGGGTGTCGATTCGAGACACATCTGCCTGCTCGTCTCGTATCCCCTTGTAGCTGCTCTCCAGGTCTTCGCGCGACTGCAACAGAGCACCAGCCAGCACATCAGCAAAGCTGTTCCAGGCCCCGGTATCCCCGATGCTCAAAGACTCGAGGCGCACCGTAGCTGACGCCAGCTTGGTCACCGACTCGTCGATCTCGATCGGCGGCAGAGTGGCTGCATGGACTCCCTTGATCGTCTGGCGGGACCGCCGCACCGACTTCTTGAACTGCTTCAGCTCGCTGTCAAACTTGTTCAGGGTCAAAACAAACTGGTTTCTGACCAGCTGGCTGGACATACGCCTGAGGTCCTGACGCAGCTCACCGCGGCGCCTCCTCTCGGCACGGCACTCATCCGCCTCGTGACGCTTCTGCTCCTGGATTAGGCGGTGCTCCTCGCGCTCCTTGGCCCGCTGTTCCTTCTCGGCGCGCTTCTGCTCCTCAGCAGCCAGTCTCTCCACCTCGGCTTGCTTTGCGCGGCGCTCCTTGTCAATCCGCTTCTGCTCGGCCTCTGCAAGCTTCTTCGCCTCTGCAATCTCCTCGGCAGTGGGCGGCTTGGGCGCATCGGTCTTCTTCGACGGGATAGGAGCAAAGGAGACGTGCTTCTCGATCGCCTCAGGCGACTTCTTAATCACAAAGGGACTGGCAACATCGCCCTTGCCTTGCTTGGGGGATTTGAACAAGCTGGGCTTCAATAGGTTGGCAGTCGAGAACATCGGCATTGAGGTCACGGGCTTGGTTTCAGCTACCGTTGTGTCCGCAGGTTTCGACTCACCAACCTTGCGCGACTGCGCAAACACCGATCCCTTTACTACCCCAGCACCAGTCGCACTGCCAAAGGCAACGCTGGCCGGTATATTGGCACCAGCCTTTGAGCTAGTGGTCGATGCAGGCTCAGGCTTCTTGGCAGGCGCCACTACAACTGGTTCCCCCCAGAACGACTGCTTCTTGGCCATGCCCGAGCCGAACTTTGACGGTGGCTGGTCAAAAAGTGACGGGCCGCTGGCTGGCTGGTCAAATATGCTGCCGGATGACCCTGAATTTTTCTCTGCCAGTGCTGCAAACGACGTCGCACCAGCGGCCCCTGCCGATGCCCCCACCACCTGACCGAACGTGCGCTGCCCACTGATACCAAACGTCGTAGGCGCGTTAGAGTTTGACGCCACCTTTGTTGCCATCCCAAACGCTGAAGCACCCGCTGGCCCAAACGACGGCTTAAACTCCTTGGGCGTGCCAAATCCTTGCGTCCCACCCAAGCCGCTGCTGGGCTTTGGAGCAAGAATCGACGAGAAAGTACCGCCAAATGCCTTGGACTTGACGAATCCAGATATCAGTGATGACTCCTCTTTCTCCGCAGCCGGTGCCTGAGTTTTGGCAGAAGTGGCCGGCAATGCTGCGGCTCCAGGCAGTGGCTGCACCTGCTTGACCATGCCCGTGCACTGCTGGCCGCGCTCAATCTCGACCGTGTTGTAGACATAATACCCAAGCAGACAGCCGTCAGTGGTTAGGATCCATAGGATGGGCTGCGGCGGCATGGGCGCCGTCGAATCCTCGGGGTTAAGCGGCGGCAGATCACGAGTGCTGGTGAAGTCAATGGCCATGCCTAGCGACGTCGTATCGTTTTCTTCGGTGTTGACCACCGCTAGGGGGAACTGCCCACGGAACGGGTCAGTATCCAGATCGCACCAGTCAGGCCCATCGCTACCAGCATCACCGCCCTCAAGCACGCCTGGCAGGCAGTGTGCAATCGTCTTGACATCGGTCGAGCCCGTGCTCGTCAAAAACTGCATGTGCGGCACGCTTGCTCCCCAATCATAGATGCTAGCAAAGTGGAAGCCCGGGTAGCGCATTGGGAAATCCATTGCCGTGCATGGATCCTCGATATACTTCCAGTGCATGGGCGCCTGCTTCTTGGTCTGCGTGATAATGTACGCTGCAGTTTGGACTTGTTCAAACTCGTCCTCGTCATCAGCCGATCCATTACCGCCGCCGCCATTGCCAGACACGAAACCGCCGGGCGGGAACTGGCCATAGATGGCCATGAACGTGTAGGTCTCGATCCAGTCGACGGCCAACACAGCGAATGAACTGGGATGGTTCTCTGTGGCCGGTGGTTGAATGGTGCGCTTGGCTGCGCCATCGTTGGGTGCCCGTTGCGTGAGAACACCATCGGTATCTCCACACACGATCTGCTTGCCCTTCCGGGACCAACAAATAGCAGTAACCCTTGAGTCTGCATTGCTGGTGATCCTCGTTGTCGTCCCTTGTGCGATATCCGCCATCAGAACGGCACCGCTCAGCGTCAGTACTGCTACCAGCGTTGGCATCTCCAGTGGGTTGGGTCGCAAGTCGCGGATCTCGTCGTCCACATCGATGGTCATGGATGGCTTCGCATCGGGGCTGACAAGCAGATCGCGCACCGCGAACACCAGAACCGAGCCAGTCGCCAATGCCACAATGACCGAGAGCTCGTCAGCACTGAGAGTAACATGCGTGACCTTGCCCACACTGATCTCGCTTCGCTTCGCCAGAACAACGGGCTCACCGTCACCAGACGCGTCACCGCTGACAAGTGCTGCCTCCGCATCCGCAGTCGTAAAAACACTGATTCCTGAAGGCGCCCCGACAGCAATATACCCGTACTTGTTAGACAGCGCCAAGAGCCGGGAATATGCGGGCGTGCTGCGCCGTGCCGACGAGAACGGCTCGCTGGTAACGCGCACGCAGGTATCAGCCTTCACTTGGTGAAGCTGGATACGCTACACACTGAAAACAAGACACTTGCTCAATTTAATTGAGAAGAAAACTATACCACATTGGGCTCCTGGCGACAAGCATCGCTTTTGGACTGAACTCGACAAACCCACACTTGCCTTTGTTTCATTCTCACCAATTGTGGTGAGCACGTAATTGGCTCCTAATAGGCCGTCAGAACCTTGCATGGTTCAATATTTTCGCTTGGTTGATTTTCAATTACAAAACCTGAGAATGAGCAAGCGAAAATGGAGAAGCTGAGGAGAAAACCGCCGTCGTCACTGCTGGTTTGTTTTCAGCCCTGAGTGGCTGAGGCACCGATTTTTTATTTTTCGACTCAGCTCGTCGAGCCAAGAAAATGGCTGCGGCTCAACTGGCCTGATCGCATACACGTTTTTTCAGAGTTTGTGTAGAACTCCCCTTGGTGCGCAGCCGGCGACACGTAACATGGCAATGCCATGTCAGCCAACACAATTGCTACCTGCATCCATTTATAACCATGGCAGCACAGTGTCTTTGCTATTATCTAACTAGACCTATGGCGTTCACGATGCAAGCTCAGCTAGTCCGTATGGTTTAGACAGTTGGTACTGTGGCGGGAAATCTAGCATACGACTTCACTGCCTAAGGCCGATAGCAACTGCCCGGAAAGCTCAAAAACTCCTGGCGAAGGTTTGATTGGCACTGGCGTTATTGCGTTGGCTCGCCATTGCTGGCAGCGGCTGGGCGCTTCTTGGCTTGCCTGCTTGCTTACTTGCAATCTGGGTGGCACCAGACCCATCAGGAGCAGTCAGTAGTGAAACCTTGCAGGAATTTTGCCTGTCTGGCACAGCAGGGGGTATGTGCCCACAAAGAGACCTCCATGAAACCCGCCTGTAGGTATGGTATAACGATGTTTATTGCGGAAGGTTGCAGAGCAAAAGTGGTGTTTCATCCCATTGTCCAGGGCAGGTGATTCTTGCGTAATCAGACGTATCCCATCGGGTGGCTGCCCATACACATCACCGAGACAAGCCCGGTACCGAGGTATGCTACGGCTGGTACCCACGAAGATTAAATAACAGAGTGTAAAAGAGGAATTTGTAGGGATATCGGAATGTGTGGAAGGGGGTGAGGTATTAGAAAAGGTGGGTGACACAGGGAAAGCCGCTTTTATATGCAGGATATGTGTTGGCCAGGAAGCCAATGGTTCCAAGTTTGAGCGCCGAGGATGCAGGGATTGGGTGGTTTGCTTAGTACAGTACTGCATCTACAAAATGCGAACTGAAATGAATGGTACTTTGGTATAACTACGGTTCCGGGTTCGATTTTTCGAGTGCTTTGAAGAAATATTCGTCACCTTAGGGTCTGAATCCATCGGCCATAAAATAACCCTGTTAAGAGTTTACAGAGCGAGTCACACATGCTCGCTTTGAGGCTCAAAAGAGCTTGAATTGTTCAACTAATTAAAAAGGTTCTAGCGGACGGTTGGTCACTTTTTGGACTATATAACCGTATATATGGGTAAAGATACTGGTAGGGTAAGAAGAAAGTGAAAAATAATTATGAACAAAAGGTGATTTGCGTGCAAACCAGATAGTTTACAAGTTGGTGCGAATGCAGACGATTCACTTTTGCCACTAGAACTACACATAAAATTCAACTGTTTATGAATATATACCTACAGATAGCTGCCTTTATCATGTGCTATGCATTCATAGGTCTCTATTACTCGTCATACTCTTGTACGATCCATGATATACTGCGAATGTGGCTATCTCTGCAATGCTAACAAATGCAATAGAAATTGGACAATAGAATACTATATTATTAACAACAGATACTATATGCCACATTGGAAGAATGTAGCGCGTGACAAGGGTGAACATTTCAATTAGAACGGGTGGGGAGCGTGCGTGCTGCGTGGACGGCGGCTTCCAGGGGAGAGGTGTGTGCGGTAATGCTGCATCATGTTGTCCTGGCGCGAGAAGCGGCTATTGCAGCTGGGATGCAGGCATACAAAATTCTTCTCGCCTGTGTGGATGCGATGGTGGCGCGAGAGATGGCCACTGGTCGTAAATGCCTTTCCGCAGCCGGGGTACGAGCACTTGTACTTGCGCACTGTAATTGTCCGGGGAATGATGCGAGTGCATGGCGGGAGTACCAGGGGCATAGGGTTCAGGACCCTTTGCGGTTGCCTGTGCAGCGGCTTGGCACACGAGCTGGCCATGTGGCATGCATCGGCCAAAAAGTTGAGCGGTGGGAAGGGAAGCGGTGAGTTGGAGCAGCTGCGCAGGAGAGGCGACTGGTCGGGTGTCAGCCCAGGAATCGACGAGCGGCAGCTAAGGTCTTGAGGGGTATCCTCGTTGAGCAGGCTGACACGAGTCCCGTTGGCACTTGTGACCGAGAATGAGCGATGGCAGATGTTGCGGGGCATGCTGGGCAGACCAAGTGGTGCGGTAGAGGTTGGATACATCGCTTGAGCAGGTGATGGTGGTGTGGTTTGGTAGGCCTGAGAGTGCAGGGAATGGAGGATGCGGTGGTGTCGGATGCGATGTGGAACAATCTGAGGGTATAGTGCAGAACCCAGGGCTGCACAGGAGCCATTTATACATGGCCTGGGAGACGGTCCCGCGCCGGTCCCACGAACACACTTGCAAGCAGCAAACAATGGCCCGTAATGTGAATGCGTGGGGAGGCTGGCTAAAAAACCTTTCTAGCTTTTAGCCGCTCGTAAGCAGAAGAATGCATTGGCATCCAGCATGTTTGCTGCTCCGCTGCGCTGGCGGGCAACCTCATCGCAACGGAAACAACAAGTTCAGAGAATCCAGGTCAAAACGGTCTGGAGAATACAAGGCACATGCGAGTTCTCACAGCGGCCGCTAATTGTTGGTGGTGGACACAAGATAGTTGGAGCACGATGGGTGGACGAGGACAAAGCAAGGCTATCACTGTTTACACTCTAAATCTGCTGAATGAATCTACAAACTACTCTCGCCCAAATAGGAAAGGCGGTGGTGCATGGTTGAGCCAAGCGACGCAGCCAAGCACAATGCGCAGTTGCGGTCAGAACCTTAACCGGCTACAAACAAATCAGAAGCGGTTCTGCTTGTCAAGGCTCGCTTGCATTCGGTCCTGAACAGGAAACCGCGGTCCACAGGCAGCCCGGTTCCCCAGGCTCCAACCTGGGGAATGTAAGCCCTACACCAGTGCCTAGGATGGGAGAGCAGCATGGAAAGGGCGCTTATATGCACGATATAGTAGCTAATATATTGCGCCTGCTATTAATAGGGTCTGCAGTGCTGCGCCGTCGAAATGCAGCAGTATCGGGAAGGGTAGGGACTGAGCTCGGTGCTTGGTGCCTGGCTTTTTACCACGTTCCTTGCTGTCCGCAACTAGTGCTTGAAGCTCCAGCTGAGGACAATGCGTGGCACCCTTCCACAACGAGGGGTTTGGCGGGGGATGTTTGACACTCGCCAAATCCACCAACCAAGCCCCTTTGCCCTCGAGCGCTTGGCTGCTCGCATATCCACTTTTGATTCATCCGCCTCCCAGCCTTCTCAACCACTCTATTCCCCAAGGCCAGGCGTGTTTGCGGCCACCAGGTGGTGTTTTTGAGGATTTTGGAACAAAACATGGTTCGAGCTGAACTTGGGCGCCTCTATCTGTCCTCACATTGTCTGGCGTGTTTGGCCGGGCGGGCAGGCATCTGGCATGGGGGAGACGCGGTGGCGCCCATGTCAACACTGCGCAGCGGGACCGGGTGGGCCTTGGCAGACCAGCCTCTCCAGTGCAGCCTTTGCGCATGCGCCCAAATCCCCAAGCACATATGAACCAGAAGCTGGCAGATTCCATATATGGCAAGTCGAGCGCATTTAGCGCGAATGGCGCATTTGGTTACCACACCAAAGTCAAGCACAGCGTTTATTATCTTAAGCGGCGGCTTGTGATGAAGTGGTTATCTCATGCAGTTGTTCTCGATGAGCGTCGACTTGGAGATGCTGCAAAATCAACCCACTGCTGAAAGCTCTCTTTAAACACGGATAGAGGCTTAAAAACAGAGCTACTACAATGCGAGACCGAGCAGGACATTTATATGTTATTTTAGGTAGTGTGACTGAACCACTTGTGTAGGCCCATCGCAATGGTACATCCAACAATGACAGCTGCACCCAGGACACTAATCCAGTCTGGCACCTCGTCAAACAGCGTGATGCCAAACAGGAAAGCGAAAACAACGTCCATGTTGCGCATCAGGGTGCCTGGACCAGCAGGGGCAAGCTGGAGCCCGCGGTTCAGTAGGACCTGGCCCAGATATGCGAACGAGCCAACCATGGCCATCACCGTCCACTCGTAGGTAGTCTGTGGCAGGCGTGGATTCTGGAACGCAAACATGGCGATAGACGAGCCAACAAACGACAGGAACCCAAAGTACACGACATGCACCATGGCATGCACACCGCGGCCAACCTTGCGAACCACGCAATAGGCCAGAGCACCAGACATGGCGCCGATCAGGGCAGCAGCAGCACCGCGCACCTGGTGCATCTCGCCAAGCATACCAAGGTGCTCGGAGAAGAGTGCACTGGGCTTGAGCACAAGCACAATGCCCAGCATGCAGACGGCTGACGCAATCTTGTCGAACCCGTCGTAGGGCTCGCCAAGCATGAGATTGGCGAAGATCGCGCTGAACACTGGGCCGGTGAAGAATACAACAGTGGCATCGGCGAGCGTCATGACCGAGACCGCATAGAAGAAGCAGGCGTTTCCGAATGCGCCGGCGGCACCACGCAGAACCAGCCATTTGCGGAGCCCATTCGCGTTGCTTGGGCCCATGGGACTCACACGGTAGTACAGACAGCCAAGAAGACCCAGCGCGAGTTGAACAACGCTGCGGGCGAACACGATCTCGAGGGACGGGAAGTTTGCAATGGCCAGCGCCTTGACACAAGCCGAGTTTGTTGCGAACCCGAGTGCAGAGAGCGCCATGAAAACGTACCCCTTGAGCTCATCGCGCCTGCGCTGGCTGGCTGCCTCGAGCTCTGCAGCAGACGTGTTCCCGACCAAGGGCGTTGTCTCGGTAGCTGCCTCTTCGCGATTCGTCATGATACGGGCAGTACAAGCAGTAGTATACGGGGAATGCAAGGAGGAAAACTGCGTGGGGTGGTGGGAAAGGCGGCCGGTCTGGAAGGCACGGGAGGATATAAAGTCGCGCAGCAAGCGGGTGGTCGGACAAGGCAAAATTCCGTCCACTGAGAACTCCAGGATCATCAGATTTCGGCCGTGATTAGCCCGAAAATGCGGCACACTGGAGCTTTTTTTACGTGGCAGGCTGGAATGCGCCGTGTCGACAGCCAGTGTGAGCGGCGCGCTGTAGGCCTTTTTCTCTTCTCCAAAAAAGTTATCCGTAGGCCAGATAGCGTAAACTACTCAACGTTCCCTTTCCTCTAGCTTCTGCTGTCTTCCTTATCGCTATTTGTAGTGCACAGTTTTATTGCAACGGAGAATTCGGAGAGGAAAATGGCTGTTGCCCGGTATGCTCACGATTCCAACACACGCCCTGCGGATGCAAAGGTACGCACAGCTTGCTCGTCAGTACGATGCAAACCCATACGCGGTGGTCCTGAACAGCACGAGGCGAGGCAGTAGTGTGTTGCAATTTCTGGCTAACGACGAAAACCGCATTTTATTCCCCTGTAGAGTGGACGCAAAGGCGGCTGGTTGGGATGGCTGTTGCGACGTTTGTTTTTGATGTACGTGGTATTCATTACGCTGACTACGTGCCCGTCGAATCCGGGGCACCTAGTGTGCAGAACAGAGGCAGCGGTGAGAGAGGTCATCAATGGCCCGGTTCACGGGCTGTTTGTTAGCACTGAGACTGGCGCGCGCATCAGCAACGCATACAATGCGCACCTGGTGCCGCTATACGAGAGGCACGCAGAACCGCTCCTAGACAACACGCGCGTTTTCGTTGCGGAGACCGTGGCCCCGGCCCTGTCCAAAGCATCGAAGCCTGCGTGCGACGCCTTGCACCGGGCTGTTGATCCATACACGGATAAGGCATATGCCGCATATAGCGCACATGCCAAACCCACGGTAGACATGGTTGCTGGCTGGGTCAAGCAGACTGTGAGCCAGGCCGTGGTGCCTGTAGTGACGGCTACCAAAGAGGTTGTTGTTCGGGTGGGCGGCGACTACGTCCTGCCGCTGGCCAAGAGTGGGTGGAGTGACTATATTGTTCCTCTGCACGTCAACCATGTGCAGCCCCTGTGGGCCAAGCAGGTGTACCCGCGATCTGCAAGTACTCCAAGACTGCGCTGCAGTCCGTGCGCGAAAATCTGCTCCCTGGAATCGTGTCTGGCACGGCCCGTGCGTCCAGTGCCTCATGGGCATTCGCCCAAGAACACATTGTGCCGTATGCCAAGCGTGGTGCCGTACACGCGTATCTGTTCTTTACTCGTCACGTGTCACCGCCGGTGCGGTCCCTCTATGACCAGCACATGCGCCAGTATGTGGACCGTGTGGTTCCTTGGGACCAGGTTGAGGTTGTCTACGACAAGTCGGTGCTGATTGGGTCGACGCTGTTTGACATTGCGCGCAGCTTCACCGAAGAGTTCTACTACATGTGCTACACCAATTTTCACCGGCGACGAGCACCCGACTGTCATCCAGCGTCACCACGAAGAACAGCTGGCCAAGGCCGACCAGCCCACGACTCAGACCGTCTTTTCGACCCCGGCGGAGCATGCGCAAAACATTGCCCGCAAGATTTCGGGCTCGGCGCGCCAGTGGTTCCAGGTGGCCCGCGGATGGGTTGCGCCTGCCAACCAGCAGTACGTCTATGACAAGGCCACCGATTTCTACCACCGTGCCACCAAGGCGGTTGTGGAGCGCATTCCCAAGCAGCAACCAGTTGCTTTGACATCATCTGTTTCTGTCGTCGAGCTTACTCTGTCGGTCACAATGTCCGCTTCGCCTGCGTCTACTCTGGAACCGATTTCTTCTGAGCAGCCCTCGACTGAGGAAGAGCCTGTGGTTGTGAAGACCATAGTCAAGGAGACTGTTGCTGAGGAGACTGTTGCTGAGGAGACTGTTGCTGAGGAGATTGTTGCCGAGGAGACTGTTACCGAGGAGACTGTTACCGAGGAGACTGTTACCGAGGAGACTGTTACCGAGGAGATTGCTGGCGAGGAAGCCACTTTGGAGGAGATTGTTATCGAGGTGACCGCAGTGGAGGAGCCCCGCATCGTTGAGGTAGTCGCTGAAGACACCGTTGTTGTTGTCGAGGCTGATGCCGAAATGTCCGACGTTGTCGATGCTGCTATTGAAGAGACCCTTGCTACCACCGAGTCTGTTGTCGCGGAAGAGCCTGCCATCGTCGAGGAACCAGTAGTTACCATTGCGACTGCTCCTGAGCAGCCCCTGGTTGCCACCGAGATCCCTGTCAAGGAGACCATCCTTGAGGAGGCTACGCTGACTGAGGTCGTTCCAGAGCAGAAGCCCGTCGTCGAGACTGCTCCTGCTGTCGAGAAGTCGCCTTCTACTGATTCTGTTAGTGCATCTTCCTCGGACAAGCCTGAGATCGATGCCAACCAGGCAGCCTCTGCTGTCTACGATGCTCGTGAGGCCATGGCTGGTGTTGGTGTGGACGAGCAGCAGAAGAAGGAGTTTGAGGACCTAGTCGGTGCGGTCAAGGACAGGGATGCGGCAAACCTGGAGAAGATGCCCCAGATTGTCAACGACATTAAGCCCAAGGAGGATGACAAAACCGTCGGTGCCGCCACTACTGCGCCAGCTGCTGCTGACGACGACCAGCAGATGCGCGTGGCCACGACGCTCCCTGCCCCGGAGACTGCCAGTGCTGCTGGTGTGGAGGCAACGTCTGCGGCCGAGCCTGTCGAAGACCACAGCACCTCAGCCAAGGCCGCCGAGGTCAAGCGCGAGCTCAACGAGTCCGGCGAGTCGATCAGCCAGTCTGCTTCCCTGGTTGCACAGGAGTCTACCACGACAGTGACGGCCCAGACAACCGCCACGCGCACAGTGAACAAGGTGGTCACTGTGGAGCAGCCCGTGCAGCCGCCCAAGGGATCGGCCGAAACGACCACCCAGGCAGTAGTGACCCAGTATCTCACCAAGACCGTACGCAAGCAGAGCACAGTGACGTCGCAGGTCACCACCACTGTCAAGACCACTCGTTCAGTGACAGTGAACTCGACGCTGCTCGAGACGCTGACCACCGACAAGCAGCAGGTTGTGGCCACCACCGCAGCCAGCGAGAAGACTGCACCGGAGGCTGCCAAGGCCAAGCATGAGACGTCGCAGGCCGCCGGTGAGCAGCAGCAGGATGGTCTCAAGGAGGCGACGGCCATGTCGGCTGTTGACACAGAGCCTGCTGCCGAGCTGCCGGCTGCCAAGGCTCCGCTGGTAGAAGAGCCTGTGGTCTTGGATAGCCAGTCGGTTGATTCCAGCCCGAAGGCAGAGGACGCGGCCAAGTCGGAGGAAGTAGTGGAGGAGACAAGCCCGCTGCTGTCGATTGTTGTGCCGGTTGACGACGAGGTGCGCAAGGCGGCTTCGAACTGGGTCAAGGACGCGCGCAAGTCGATCTCGAAGGAGGTTGCGCAGGAGCGCACCCGCCAGAGCACCTCGGCTACTGAGGAGGAGCAGGTCGAGCAGGAGACGGTCGCTGCGGCGGTCGAATCGCAAGCCGAGCCGTCGCCGGCTGCTTCGGAGCCCTCGCAGGTGAAGGCGGTGGCCAGCACGGCGGCTGTGGAACGTGCGGTGGCCGAATCCGCTGTGCAGCCCGAGAAGGAGGAGGCCGTGGTGGCGCCACGGTCGGCGGCCAAGCAGGAGCCGGCTCCGGCACCGGTCCGGCCGAGCAAGACAGCACCCAAGGCAGCCGCAAACGAGGCAGCTGGTTCGCTGCCCCAGGAGTACCGGTGGATAAGACGGCGATCAAGTCGGCGCAGAAGGCAAAGACAGCGCAGAAGGCGGCCAAGCCAGCAGCGAGCCGGCGGACGAAGAAGGCCGACGAGAAGCAGGCGCAAGCCACAAGGGGTCCGCGCAAGATCAAGGTCAAGAAGCGCCGCTCCGCAGCACGCGATGAGCTCTGAGCAAACAAAATTATTCACTTTTTTCCCCGTATATTCACTTCAATCTCCCAATTCAATTCCAACTGGCTTACAAGAGGTTCGATTCAAAGTACTTTGCGACCTTGTTGAGCTTGATCTTCTGCTCCTGCATGGAGAAGCTGCTGGTGGACAGGAAGAGCAGGGTGTCGTAGATGGCGTCGTAGGCGGCCTTGGCGTCGGGCGAGTCTTTGTACAGCTTGCTGGCGGAGTTGCGCATCCCAAGGCTCACTGCCAGATCGTGGACCAGCTCGACGTTGGTTTTGCCGCCCTTCTTGCCGACATTCTTGGTGTCCTCAAGGAACTGATCAACAGCGGTTGATTCTGCAGCAGTGAGTGCCAAGACAGTCGTGACTAGCGCCAAGAACGCGGGAACGAGGAAAGCAAGTCTCATTTCTTCTTGAATAACAAAAAATAAGGGATGTGCTACTGCTTTATTTAGGCTGGCTATAGAGTGCAGAATGATCTCTGGAGGTGCGTCTTGGCATACAGGAGGGCTGCGGCGTTCCGTAGGCCGGCTTATATGCGGCACCTTGGCAAATATATGTGGGTGGTGGGTGGCGATGTTTCGCTGGCACATGGACAGTGTACTGGGGGCATGTGGTGGTATTAGCATTGGGCTCGAGGTAGCGAGGGGATGGCGAGTGGTTCCGCGCCACATGCAAGGTGTCTCAGTCAGGGGAGGGCGCAGGGGCGAAAAAGCATATGATGGCCGGCAACCCCCACCAGAGCTGAAAGTGAGAGCTGGGCTGCCTGTATGTGCGAGGGGGTCGGTTTTACCACGGGGAAATGGGGAGCATGATGTTCAGCCAGTTTCCAGAAGGAACCCAGAAACATCAGCGAGGGAGGCGATTGGGGGAATGCTCGGGCTGCGTGTGGTCGGACCGCCAGGCACATCAGGACGATTAGCTCATTCCAAAGCCGAGCAGTCCAGGAGCGTGCCATCATGGGCATTGGGGAGTGTAAATGGGATTCGTGCTCGGCGCATAAAGCACTGATTTCCTAAGCAGCAGGAATAAGGGGGCGGTGGGCTTCTGGACTCCGCACCCAGGGCGGAGACCGACATTGCGCCGCTGACAAACAGGCGACGCCTCGTGCGATGGAAACTGACAAGGGACAAGGCAGAGCGCGGGCATCGGGGGTTGTGTGGCAAAAACCTGAAAAACAAAAATGCAAAGGCTGTTTGTTTTGTTTTCCCTCAATGGCGTGTGTGCGGCAGGAGAGGGTGAACAAGGGCAGGCGCTATACTACTGCCGGTTCTGCTGGCCTTTTTCCCTGGCTTTCGACAGCAGAAGCGTATAGGTGCGATATCATTGGGCATGAGGCGGCAAGGGCTTGGCGTGCATAGATGTCTGGGCGGACATTGGCACATCGACGGGTTGCGCGCTGGCAATTGGGACACGCGTATGTAGATGGAAGCAGAGGAAAGGCGAGATATGCCATCAGCAGACATACCTGGCGCATGCAAGTGCGGATTGGTGGAGAACGGGGAGGAAACAAGAGATTACACGGGGTCCCTACGTTCATAGCCGGCCCCCAACAGGCAGCTCTCCGAGCGCTTGGAGGTGGACGGCTGGGCGGCATTGCGGATCGGCCAGTTGCGCCCATGCATCAGTGACGCCAGGCGCTGTATAAAGGCGGCTGTGGTACAGATGCTGATTTCTTCTTCTGCGCGCGTTTGTACCTTTTTGTTTTTCTTCGTGTTTATATCAGCACTTTGCTCTGTTAGGGAAATAAGCTAGCCCCCACCCCAGCGCCGGCCATCCAAAAACAGCGCATATTACTTTCAGCAGCCAGAACAAGGGGCTGTATTAACGACAGAAAGAGGGGCAGAGGAAAACTGTCCAACGCGCAGAGCTGACCCCATTTCCGGATGGCCAAAAGGCAGCAGCATCGCTTTCTCCCGCTTTCCTCGCCTGTGTCCCTTCATCGTGTCGGTATTTATTCGTTCTAATTTGCACAAAACAAAATATTGTTTTTTTCTTCGCTTGGGGGCTCATGGTCCGGTTATCGTTTGCAGTGACGGCCAGCATCCTGGTGTTCTGGATATCAGCTATGGGGTCGAGCAACTACCTGCTGTACACATGGCGGTCAGGCACCAAGGCGCTGTCGCCGCAGGTGTTTTCGCTGATGCTGTGGTCGCGGGGCTGGCAGGTGCGCCAGCAAGAGACATTGCGGGCAGCGGGTACAGCGCAGGCAGAGCAGGCAGAGGAGCAGGTGCCGACGGGTGCCACGTCCAATATGCTGGAGGAGCAGGTGTCGGTGGGCGTCATGTCCAGTGTGCTGGAGGCGGGACGGGTGGACACCGCGTACCGAGAGGCACAGTACCGGAAGCGCGCATTGGCGCTGCGGCGGGCGTCGGGGACGGCAGCGCGAGTGCTGGTGGCGCCCGAGGACGTGTCGGCGAAGGACATACTGCCCGAGGGCCATAATGGGTTCACGTCGATGGTTGCGATTTCCTGCGTGCTTGTATTTGCTACATTTGTTGCCTTTTAATCATATTAATCTTTAGAGTATGTGTATTGCAAAACGTGTTTTTGGACTGGGAGAGATTATCGGCTACGACCACACGTCCTCCTGGTAGCGCGAGGCCTTGCGCATCTCGGCCAGCCACTGGGCAGCAGTGTCCACTGGCACGCCGGCCTTGTCGGCGATCAGAGCAGCCAGGGCTCGGGTCACGTCCTTGGCCATGGCCTTGGCGTCGCCGCACACGTAGATGTGGGCCCGCGGCGGACCGGTGAGCTTGTCCTGGCCCGCCAGCAAGGCCTCGAAGACAGCGTCGGCGTGCTCGGCCAGACGGTGCTGCACATAGATCTTGTTGGCCTGGTCGCGCGAGAAGGCCGTGATGACCTGCGACTGCGGAGCCACGGTGCGGATGTCGTCGAACAGACGCGCCAGCTCGTCCTCATACATGTAGTCGTGGACAGCCGTGCGCGCGCCGAAGAACAGCAGCGCCGTGCCCTGCGCCGACTCGGGGTTGGCACGTGCCTGGTGGGCGCGCTCCTGCACAAAGCCGCGCATGGGCGCCAGGCCAGTGCCGGGCCCAATCATGATGATCGGCACCGCGGGGTCGGTGGGCAGACGGAACTGCGACTTGCGGATATACACCGGCAGGGCCAGCTGGCGGTCGACCGGCGGATGGATGGTGTAGGAGCCCAGCACATGGCCCTTGTTGTCCGCCACCACTGGAGCACCGGACGCGTCGTGCGTCGGCAGCGCAGCATTCTCGCTGACCAGCACTCCATCGGGCAGCGACACCGCGCGGTCGCCCTGCAGGTAGCGCTTGGCACCCAGCAAAAAGTTGGTGGCCACGCCGGAGCGCGTCAGACCAAGCTTGGCGTCGGCGGACCCGGCGGCTGCCTCATACTGCAAAACCACAGCAGTGATGCTGGGCATCTCGGGCGCCACGCGTGCGCTGGACGAGATGGAGTAGAAGCGCGGCTGCATACGCGGGCACAGCTCGAACACCGCGGCCGGCGGCAGCATCAGCAGGTCGGTTTCGCCAGCCGTGCGTTCGGCGGCATGCACAGCGTTGAGCAGCCGCGCCAGCGACAGGCACCCGGCGCCCACCTTCTGCGCATGCGCGTCCTTGTCGTTGGCCAGTGGGCCCAGGAAGTCACGGGCGGCGGCGCTGGTCGCAAACGGCAGCACCAGCGACTTGATCTGCGCGCGTGGCACCGGCAGCGCTATCTCCAGGTAGTGCCGCAGCGCCGCGCGGTATGTGGTTACGTGCGGGAACAGCGCCTGCTGCGCTGCGTGCGGGTCGGCCGCCGCCACGCTGATCGCCTGATCCGCGCGGTCCAGCAGCCCCAGCGCCGCCAGCAGCAGATCAACCTCCTCGTCCGAGTTCTGCGCATAAACGCCGATGTGGTCGCCGGCCTCGTACCGCATGCCCGACCCCGCCAGGTCCACCTCCACGTGCAGCACGTGGCGGTCGGCTCCTGGCGTCAGCTCCGCCGTTGCCTTGACCGGCGCCTGGAACGGGTGCCGTGCGTCGAACGTCTCGGCCGACGCATACAGCTGCCCCGCCGTCCACGCGTCGCTACCGCCGGTCTCGGTGACTGTCCATGTGAGCGCCGGCGCTCCGCCTGCGTCCTCATCGGGCGTGGCCGACCCGAACATGGCGCGGATCAGCGGCAGCGTCTTGTCCTTCCACTGAGCAAAGTCCTCCTCAATGTCGACGTCGTCGTCTCCCTCGCCGCGCTCGCCAATGCGCTGCGCCCCCAGCGCCTGCAGCCGGCTGTCCATGATGCGCGCGTGCGAGTTGAACTGCTCATACGTGTTGTTGCCCAGCCCAAACACTGCAAACCGCACGTCCGCCAGCGGCTGCTCCATGTCCAGCATCCCCGCCTTGTCCTCCGGCTCGCGGAACTCGGGCACCTCCGACTCCTCGGGCGACTCGCGGTTCGACACAAATGCATCGTACCACTGCTCCATGTTGTCAGTCGGCTCGCCCTCGCCCGTCGTCGCCAGAATCAGCACCGCCAGCTCGTCCTCGTTCAGCGCCGCCATCCCGTGGAAGTCGTACAGCTCCGGGTCCAGCACCAGCGGACGCACTGCCACCGACTGCAGCTCCTTCGCCAGCCGCGTCGCAAAGTCCTCCGCCGTGCCTGTCTGCGACCCGTAGAATATCACCACGTTCTTGCCCGCATTGCGCATCTTCAGCACAAAGTCCCGCTCCTCGTTGTACTCGTCCGCCCCGCTGCTGCCGCCAGCACCCCCCGCCAGCGCCGCCTTCTGCGCTATCGTCATCTCGGGCTTGCGCGCCCCAAACAGCGTCTTGCGGAACAGGAACGTTGCCGCTCCCACCAGCACCCCCGAGACAATCACCATGTCGCCCCACTCCACCTTTGACGATGTGCTCATCTCTTTCTGCGAGCCTGTACTGTCTTGCCGCTTGCCCTGGTCAGCTGCTGTGCTGCTGTCCGATGTTAAATGGAAATACCCAAGAACGATGCCCAGGAACCCGATTCCCGGAACCCTGTACTTGTTGAGAACCTGAAAGACTCGTGCGATGAAAACTACTCCCCAGTTGACGGTATGGTAAAAGCAAAACCACACCGAGTGCGCAAACTCGTACCGCGTTGGGAAATCCACGATGTGCCTAATTACAAGTGATGCTTGCTGAAATGAAGCAACAACGACAAAATCTACCTTCTGAAAATAAAAAGTTAGGGAAAAGCCCGTGGAGAAGGTAAAGACCAAGTTTGTTCAAGAAAATAGGGACAGAGGAGAGAAAGCGGATGAAAGTAGCGCGCAATTCCTGACCCTTATAACTGATAATAAAAAATACCGGCCATGCCTCAACACTGAAAGCCTCCTGCTGGTTCCGCAATCTTCCTCGCAGAACCTGCCCCTGCCTCCTATTTGCACATGCCAAACAGGCCCGCTGCCAGGACGCCGCCTTGCCGCTTCCCCTCAGCGTATGCTACAATGCCTCCCTGCTTGCCTGGGAGCATTGGCTGTCATATATGCTTGCAAAGGGATCACGCCGCCGCCTCCAGCTGCACTCTTTTGCGAGTCTCTAGCCATCCCGCCACTATCTCTCACGCCCAACAAACTAGCTCCTTCCCCGTTTACCTCATGTGAATGGGCTTCCCGTGCCACTATCTCAACTCCACCCTATTCATCTCCACAATGCCTCAGCATACCTTCTTGGTTCGCATCGAGCAGTGGCCAAGCTGCCTGACTGCCACCTCCACCATACATGCTGAGCTCGGTGCTTCATTCAATCCCCTCAAGCGCTAATGCAGCATACATACAGCCAATCGCAGCGCTTTCTCTAATCGGTCCGGACTCATGCCCCCACATTCACGATTTCGGACTGGCCGACAAGTTCCCAAGTCACCAAACAAAAAGTGCGAAAAAGCCCCCATGCGCATCCGTCATCTATTGCTGGATCAACATGTATGTCTATTTCTTTGTGTCCTCGTCTGCCTTGACCGCTCCACCTTCGCCAAGGCCCGGAGAATCCCTGCTGGCCTTACTTTCTTCCTCTGCCGGCTGGCCCGCAAACCCAATCGTATGCGTGCGCTTCCGCTCCTGCGCCCCGTCTCCATATATCTTGTCCCACTTGCGCAGCTCCACCAGCGACTCCATCTGGTCCGACGAGCTGGCCGCCACCTTCTTCAGCGCCTGCTCAAAGTGCCGCATCCCCAAGCTGATCGTCCCGCCCACCGCCCTGGTCGCCCGTAGCTTGTCCATGCTGCCGTTGTCCCCGACCTCCTGCCGCACCCGCTCGCGCAGTGCTGCCAGCGCCGCTGCCACGCACAGATTCTTCAGATCCGATCCCGAGAACCCCTGCGTGCGCCCAGAGATCGCCGCCAAATCTACTCCCTCCTCCATGGCCTCGCCTGCCAAATGAATCTCCAGGATCTGCGCGCGCTCCTTTTCCCCCGGCAGGTCCACCAGGATCCGCCGCGGCAGCCGCCGCAGGATTGCATCGTCAAGGTCGAACGGCCGGTTTGTCGCCGCCATCACCATCACCCGCGATGCATTGCCCCGGCTCGTATTCATCCCGTCCCACTCGGCCATGATCTGGTTCATCACGTCCCGCCGGAACTTGTTCGGCTCGCCCGACGACCGCGCCGAAAACAGCGCGTCCACCTCATCGATGAACACCACGCATGGCGCCAGCTTGCGCGCAAGCGTAAATACCGCCTCTGCCAGCTTCTCGCCCTCCCCGACGTACTTGTCGTACACGTCGCTTGCCCGGATGTTCAGCACCACGCTGCCCGACTCCTTCGCCACCGCCTTCGCCAGCATCGTCTTGCCCGTCCCCGGCGGCCCGAACAGCAGGATTCCTGACACACCGTGCCGCTTCAGCACCCCCTGGCTAAAGTACTCCGGTCGGAGCATCGGCAGCGTGATGATCTCTTGCAGCGTCGTCACTGTCTCTGGCTGCACGCACACCTGCGAGAATCCGGTCGGGATGCTCTGCGGGTCCACAATGCTGCCCACTAAGCGCTGCTCATACTCGTTCAGCTGCTTCTTGGCCTGCTGGATCCGCTTCTTGGCCGACGGCACCGACGCTGGCGTCTTCGCTGCGCTGTCAGCATCGCCCACATCCTCGTCCATTCCATCATGCTCGCTACCGACTTCGGACCACTCCGTATATGCAGGTGTTGAGTCAGCTGCGGCTACGCTGACCACATCGGGCTTCTCAGAAGCCTCTGCTCTTGTGGCCGCACCATCTTCTTCTGAGGCAGCCGCAGCCACTTTAGGCGCAGCAGAAGCCACAAGCTCGGCGAGCTCATCCGGCGGCAGCACAACGTCATAGTCGTCCTCGACCTTGCGGCCCACCCCAATCTCGCCAAAATCGATCTGTCGTGCATCGTCTTGCTTGTCCTGCGGATACCCAAGCACGCCATGTCTGAGCGCCACATGCGAGTCGATCAACTGCGTCCACGCCTGCCTCAGATGCCGCGACCCCAGCACTGCCTTCTGTGCGCCATCAATCAGAATGCTCGGATCGTCCTTGATGTGCTCCAGTGTCAGCGTCTCCTTGATAGCTGCTGCATGTGCCAGCGACACCCAGCGGTGCAGGAACGTCTCGCCAAAGAAATACCGCCGCGCTGTGTCGTCCGGCAGACACCGCAGCATGGCCAGCAGCGGCCGATGGTCGAGGTGCCATGCGCGCGCCTGCTGCTTCAAGATCACCTGCATGTCGGATTCGTAAAACAGTGGCTTGCGCTCAAACAACACCTTCTGAGTGCCTCCGTCTGCTTCGTCGCCAGTGAGCCTAGACAGGTGCGCTGCTTCGTCTGCTGTCAGCTGCAGCCCAGGGATCCGGTACAGCAGGCAGATGTTGCGGATCACACGCGCATTGCGGTCCAGACACTGATCAGCCACCATCGACTGCCGCAGCGACCCAATAACCGGCTCACGCTCTGCATCGCCGATGCTGGCAAACTCTGGCACCCGCATGTCGCACGGCTCCGCCATCACCTTGCTGTTTGGTGGCGGGATTCCGACCCGCGCAAACAGCGGCAACTCTTCCGGCTGCTGCTGCTTCGCATGCCTCGACCCGCCACTAGACAAACCGCCCAGCGCACGGGGGAGCCGCCCGTTGCCAGGCGACCCGCCTACCTGCACGACCTGCACTCCGAGCCGCCCGTTGACAGCATTATGCATGTCCTCGCCCAGCAGACCCTCGACGATACTGTTCATGTTGCGCTCCAGCCCTGCGCCGCGATCGGCACTTGGTGCTAGGGCAACAGGTGTCGACGGATTGACATCAAAAGGCGGGAGTCCAGGCGGCGGTGTGTCCATGTGGAACCAGCTCGGATGCAGCAGCCCAACTACCATCACAGGCTGCGACTCTGCATTGGCATTGTGCTTGGCAACACACGCTGCCAGCCGCGTGAACAGCGTGTACCCGATCCGCGTGTTTAGCAGGTCGCCCAGATGCTTAATAGCCAAGATGCGCGGCCGTGCTGGATCGCCGGTTTGTAGGGTCACAAAATCCGTCAACACCCGGTCAAGCTTTTCGGTGGCCTCACGCGATAACGGATTGGTCATCATCTCACGCGATAGCACTGGCTCGCCACCTGCATCTTCGTCGGCCGCATCCAGTCGCTCACCAGATCCACCCCTACCAGAGCCGCTCGAAAAACTGGCCCGGATCGCATCTGCCACTCTATCGGCCACGCGCTTCCTGCTGTCAGAATCCCGCTCATTGTCGATACCATCGACATCATCCTCGTCTGATCGCGGCGATTTGGGTGAGCCTTCGGGCGACTGCGGCCGCTCAACCTGTTCGCTGAGCGAATCTCCCTCATCGTTGAACTTTTTGCGGGCGATCCCTGCAAAGAACGGCATACTACGGCCAGGCGCATCGCCAGATCCGCTAGTATCCAGATCGGGCGGCGGCGAGTACGGGTGGCTGACGATCGTCAGGTCCTCGAGCACTGAGTCAATGCGGGCTGTCAGCACAGCCCAATCGGGGATATCGATTGCAGTCAGCTGTGCACCTGTACGCCGGGCTGTGTCGGAAAGGAGCTCGACCGAGTAGGCTTCGGACCACGGATCCTCAGCATACAAGAGCATGTGGCTGCGGCGCACCAGCCCCGCAAGAACCGTGCTTTGAATATCGCTAAGGATCACTGGATCGAATGCGCGCTCGACGAACCCAGCACCCGTCTGCTCTGCTGGTGCTACGACGCTGGTGGAAGGATCCGACACCGCGGGTGTGCTAGCAGTAGCAGACCCTGGCTTATCCGAATTAGTCCTACTGCTACCGGGCGTCCTACCGTTGCCCCCTGACCCACCGCCGCTGCTGGCACCAAGTACCGGCTGTGCATGCAGCTCTAGCGGCTTCAGCTGCTCTACAAACGCCGCACGCAGCGCCGATGTGCGCCTTGCTGGATCAGCCGGCACCCCATTGCCGTTGGAAGTTCCTTGTATGTCCTTCGTCTCCAGGAGCTCTTTCAGCGCCCGTCGCCGTGCTGCTTCATTTGTCAGCTCTTTTGTGCGCAGCGCCGCTGCCTCACGTAGGCCAATCCGCCCGCTCCTCCACCGAGTTCCATCTATAAGCAGGCTTGGCTTATCAGTGCATGTGCGGGAACGCATCCACGCGATTGGATCTGCAGGCGGCTGTATGTGCTTTACCTTTGGCAGTCTGACTAATTGGCGTCATGTGGAATGCACGGCGCGGAATCTGTACTGTGGTCGCCCGCTTAATAGCGGCCGGGCTCCTCGCAGTCACAACAGCTCGCAGCATTCTTAATTTTCTGTTTCGCGCGCTCCAGCCTTGCTGTTTTGAATAACAAGTGTAAAGGGAATAAGGTTATGTAAGTGTTGTTTCGAATGCGCAAAAGGGGAAGAGGAGGGGTTCGGGACACATACCAAGAGCCGCAAGACTGGCACGCTGAGCCTCTCAGCTTGATGTGCATGGGTGCCCAGATACTTGCTGACCAAATATCAATTAGATTTTGTGATGCGGGCCAGCCGCTGGCAGATTCGGATCTATCGATCAAGGCGTATGTGAGGCGCTGGTGGCTGTTCCAAGTCATGGCCGTCTCTACCCACCTACAGTGTGCATGTTGCTGCATTGTCGCATAGGGGAGGTTCATGATGATGTAGCAGCAAATGGCGGATCTGAGATTCGCGATGGAAAATGAAACACAAATGAATTCAAACTAATAACGAGATCTAAGGAAAACAAGAAACGTGCTCGTGTACTGCTGGACACCGCAATTTTTGGCTTCGGCTATGACATAAAATAAGAGTGGATGAGGTGCGTGGAGATATAATGGATGAAGCCAATGGCTGGACATGGCCGCCAGCGATGATGGAGTATGAGCTAGCGGTCGACCGATCGCACAATATCAACTAGCTTTTCGACTTCATCGACAATCGCGCACATTGCCGAGTTGGCGTTTTCGAGCTCCTTTGAGAGGTCTTGGAGGACGCTATCGTACTGGTTTGTTACGCTGGCTACAGGATGGCAGAAAGTGCATATGTGTCAGTATTCACGTATTCATGTATTCACGTATTCATGTAGTGATATCGAGCGCACAATACCCGTGCATTTCGGCGCGGCTTCCTACCCACTGATGCTTGCTGTTCGTCTTGCTGCCGCGATTGCGGTATCATTTGCTGGGCTGATAAGGAGAACAGTCAAAATTTAGATGGAATGTTAATCAGTTGTAGCTGGTGATAGTCGCTCGTAGGAACTGGTAATAAACCGGGTGAGGATGGGCAGCAAATGGCAGCAACGGTAATTGACACAATTTCACGAGCGCGGGCGATCCTTTGTAAGAGGCAAGCGCCAAGCAATTGAACCCGCCATTACGCAACGTGTGCAATTGCGTGCCCCACCACGCCCAGGGACAAGCCGGAACACAACGGGTGTCGGGAGGCCACTATGCACCCAGGCCGGCATGTTAGCTGGAAGCAGCGACGTGCCAAGAGATCTTCCCGCAATTTACCCGGCCAACTCCCTGCCCGCCATGGGGGCTATTGTCAAAGAGTAAACAATTCATCGTTGCAATTGATCGTCGCCTCATCAATAACAGAATTAGCAAAAAGCAGGGGCAGAACAAAAAGAAGCCGGTGGCCAGCTAACAGGAGGGGCGCTTTGTGTAAGCCGCAGAGTGCGAGCTAGCACGCGTTGCTCCTCTTATGCATGCACACCGGCTATAGTTACCTTCAGAAGCAACCCGCTGTTCCCGAATTGCAGCCAGCTCTGCCTCAAGCTGATGCACCCTTCCCATCAAGTCATTGCGTCGCTGGATCAGCTCGCGCTCGCGCTGTCGCTGTCGTTCACGCATTCGTGCGGCCGCCTGCGTGTTCCTGCGTCGTCGCTCACTTATCAGCTGGCTCTCCTGCACCTCTTGCTCTTCAGCCATCGCCTGTCGATGCTCATCCGGGTTGCCGCGAGGAAGAATTCGTGGGTAGCTTATGCTTTTTGTAGCACCCCCGCTGGTGTCTCCCGGCTTCTGCTGCTGCTGCTGGTTCTCAAGGGAATTCTGCGATGGAGAGCGCGATAAAGACATCGTCTATGTGTGCGAGGGAGGCGTCTATGTTTCAATTAGATTCTATCAGATTGGTGAAGCGCAGGTGTCGTGGCAGGCGAGATATTAAAGGCCTGTATCTTTGTATCTTTGTATCTTTGTATCTTTGTATGTTGAGCAGTTTTATATCGTGTTCAGGCAGTGCATGATGTCATGTAAAGGGAGCGTAGGAAAGGAGGGAGAGATATGGCCAGCAGCTAAAAATATAGCAGGGTCTATGAAGGAAGGTAGTACGACAAATAATAATAAAAATTACACGGTGGAAAAAAGAGAGCGAAAAGGAGAGGGAATCTATCGTCAACAGGATTGTGAGGGGCTAAATAAAAGCGCCCTTGTTTTCTAAAACCCGTAATTACCAGCAAATACCAAACAATTATTGTAATGTGAACTCTGGTGCTGTGTAAAGCAGGACCCAGCATGCAACCTTACCCCTTGTAGAGCCTGGGCGGGAATAAATCAGCGGGGCAATGAAGGGGTGGAGAATAAGCACACCACCTAGGTCCTGATCGCGATCACTTTATATAGCAATCCAGCTCAGATATCCCCCTGAGCAGCGCCGATAAATAAAGACGCTTGTAGCACGCTAAACATGGCTAGTCGAAAGAGCGCTGTGCTACCGACCATCCTATTCATCAAAAGCCCTGGAGGCTGCACGCAGGCAATCAGCTATCACGCAACAAGGTGCCATCCACAGCAGCTGAAACTCAACGCACGGGTGAGCGGCCAAATATAGCTTGATTTGGGCTGGGAGGTCGGACAGCGGGTTGGGCTGGCTCAGTTTTCTTGGTATGCTTTTGTGGCCATTGCTGGCTTTCAAAGTGGCCACAGAACATCAGCAAAGCCGATACCCCACCCTGTGCCGCTGTGCTCACCCCCCTCCATTCCACTCTCCAGCACACTGGCCATGTTGTTGTTGAAGAGATTTTATAAATGGGACAACGACTGGATCAGTATGATCAGGACTGGTGACTCCCAAAGCGTGCGAGAGAAGAGTACCTCAGTGCCATGCAATCCCATGTCTGTGCAGCCAGCATTTCTTCGTGTCCTCTGCTCCAAAAATAGCCCTGGCAAATATTGCAAATACAGCAAAACAAACTGAAATACCCGAAAGAGTGGCAAAATCGGGTTACAATCCGGGCGTGGCAAGCAATTTATGAAGCGGAGCACAAGCACAGGTTTATCCGGGGGGGGGTTTGACCGGCTCACAGCATAAAACACCCAGGCTCCTAGCGCAGAAAATAGCCGTGCCTGCTGCAGGCATCATGAAACAGCAGGCTAAGTGCATGCTATTGCTTGAGCCAGGCACATAGTATGGCGAGGCGGGTTGTGAAGGCAAGCCCGGTCAGTTCTCCTTCGCATCGCTGCTCATTTCGCGAATGTATCAGATAGCAGCAGTCTGAGCACGCAGGCGCATCCAGATGACATTGATAGTCCGAGAGGACCAGTGTATGTCCCCAAGCACGAGTCAGGCACCAAGGGGAAGAGCCAGAAGATGCTACGATTTGTGGGAACCATACCTGTTTCCTCTAAGCAGCCAACAGGGGTTCGCACGCTCAAGCGCGGGTTCGCTGTAACCGCTGTACTATACATACCTTGATAGAGAACACGCGGATACAGCAAGTAGTATTACAGGCAGTGCGAAGGCCGTAAACCAGACGAATTTTTTGCCTGCTCCCTTAGTTGGCTGCAATGTGGGAGTATCTAGGAGCAACGGGTATCAGGATTCTGCCACACTCAATTATAGTGTGCTCTGTACCATGCGTCAGCTGCTTTTCGATGAGCGAGCCTGAAAGCAGCGAAAGTAAGCCGTCGGGAGTCGCACGTGCAATGCTGGACGGCCAAAATATACAAGGACAATTTTCTCTGAATTGCTGATATCTGGAGGCGCGTTTGTGGTAGAGGTATGAGTGTCCGATGTGCAAACCCGTATTCTATGCAGAACTGAATGAGGTAAGCATAACGTAAACCAAAGGAATAGCCGAAACACGTCACCCTCTCACGTACGGTGGTGTATAGTTCCGATATTATCGACTGAGAGCAATTAAAACGGTGCTGAAAACATTCAGGAGGGAGAAAAAAGAGTGCTGAAAGTCGTCGTCTGGCAAAAAGTGTAAATAAAATGTTCAGACAATGTGCGAAATTTTTTATGCTTCGCAGCACATAATTTGGCTTTAGTGAGTTGGCAGGCACGTCACCGACAATTTTGTTGGGCCCACAGGGCGACAACAGCGCCCTCCCATCGACATAGATTTATGTAGCCCAGTGCGAATCCAGCTAATAGAAGAGCAACAAAGATTCCCACCAGCTGCAGAGTAAATGCCTACTATGCATACCAGTCACTGGCTCTGCCCCTGTTTACCCAGCCCGCATTCCTGAGCTAGAGCGGGATGTTGGGGACATGCGTGATCCGTGGACACTGGAACTGGCAGCACCGCTCATCGTTCGATGTTTGCGCGCTCAACAGTGTGCTTGGTGTTGGGCCGCATACCTGAACGGTCTGGGCCGGGTTATCAGGCGGCCTTGGTATATGGTCCCCATGCACATCCATCCAGGCTTCTGGTTGAACCCGTGGTGTCGTCGTGTGTGCCATTGAGCGGGCAGCAGTTGTAGCGAGCAATTAGAGACCCGGCGCCAGGTTGCCCTCTGCTATGCCCTTGGCATGTGCACGCATCGGTGGACGCTGCTAAGGACTTTCTGCTTCATACGATAGTGCTTTTGTGCTTTCGAAACCAGCAGGCTCCGTGTGCAGAGTACTTCAACCAGCCCGCTAGCGCTGGCGGGCTGCAGGCTCTGCTGCTGACATTCTCGCACTATTGCTGGGCCACCAGCAATAGTGGAGGACGCTCCGCTAGAATTCCAGGCAGTAGGCGGGTAAACTGGTAACATGATAAATTTATTGGGAAAAGCTAGTAGGAGTACGATATCAGTGCTTGTTGCGGTACATGTCCTTGCGGTGCGAGGGCAGCTCCTGGCGGTTGCGCACCATCCAGGCGATTCCGCAGGCATTGCACAGCGTTTTTGGGCCATTCGGCCCTTGGCGCGGAATCGGGGTCCCGCTGCTGTCGCATCCACAGTGCTGGCACTCCCAGTTGCTTAAATCGACCCTTGTGTGCTGCCGTGGCGTTGATACCCGCGACGGCGTGCCCTGCTGTGATGTCGATGTGGCTGTTTGGATACGGATGGTCGAGTGCTGTGAGCGGCGGCCACTTGGCGAAGCCGTCACGTGTGGTGCCAGCGCCGCATCGACTGCTGACGTCGACAAGGCCGCCTGTGCATAGTATGCTGGGTTGATGCTAGGTGCCAGAACTGTCGGTGCGACCCCTGGCTCGTGCGGTAGGGCTTCAGGCGGCAAAAAATTGAACGATCTGATGTGCCCGCGCTCTGACCGACGCATGCGGCGGTAGCTGCGCTCCTTGTGCATCCACATGCGGTCGAGCTCCTCGGCCGTGAGAACCTCGACGCTGGGGCCCCACGCATTGGCCATGTCGGGAGGTCGGAATGCCGACTCAACTGGGTTCTGCCTAAGCCAGTGTGCGTCGCCTGCTTCAATAAGCTCCTTCTGCAGCCTCGCAATCTCCTCGCGCACGCGGTGCGCCACTAGCGGCGGATACTCGCCACCCAGCCCCAAATCGCGGCACAGGCACTTGGCAAACTCCTCGGGCTTGGTGTCTAGCGGTTCGAGAATGTCCCACTCGACGCGGTCCCGCAGCACATGGGAACCGATCTGGATCTCCAAGTTGAGAACCACACGCAGCTCGATGGCCGACACATCAGCGGAGTCCACAGTGACGTACTCGGCGACCTGCTGGCGGATCAGCTGGGCGATATGGACCTGTGCGCTGGCCTTGCCATCGGCAGGCAGCGCCAGGTCTGCGCAGTATATGGCCGCAAACTGTTCAGGCGTGATAATGCGCTCCTTTGCGTTCCACACAAACACGTCATGCAGACGGAAATCGCCAACCTCCAGCTCGATCCGGATAGGAACCAGCAGCTCGTCCTGTTGCGCCAGCCATTTTGCCTGGTCGTCCCGTAGATGCCAATGGGCCGTGCGACGCCGCGCACGCTTCTGCATTGCGTCGTATGCAGGCTGTACACCGATGCCGCTCATCGGCTCGGCCTCCTGCGACTTGCCGTCACGCGACTCGCTGTCGTTCTTTACCGACCCGCCATCGGTCTCAAACATCGATTCGGTGTCGTCCTCAACTCCGTACTCGTTCTCCGAGTCCGAGCTCCACTCGCGCAGGTTACGCCGGCTGCCGCGCGTCGACCGGGTGCGTGTCAGGCGGCCGCTGCTGGTAGTCATGCCACCATGGACACTGCCGGCGCCATTTCCGGCGCCTGTGGTGTTCCCGGATGCTGAGAGGACGAGCATGGCAGAGCCACCCTCTTTAAGACGCTCTACGTAGGCGCTGCCGAACAAGCCCATGCGCCGGAGCTGCTGTGCATTGGCAATCTGCGCGCTCTGTGCTGAATTCATTGTCCACGCTGTGTATATGTGTGGCCGGGCGCGTGAGTGAGTGAGTGAGAGACTGTATGTTGGAAGCGCTGGGAAGAACTCGAATTCTACAGACTAAAGGAAGGCAAAAAACAATGCGAATTTCGCCAGTGTCTACGCGAACAAGGCCACTATTTTTCCATCGCGGCTCGCCGACTTCCAGCATTCCGCGAGCCGAGCTGGGTTCCGGTTTTTTTTCTGGCCGCAGGCTGTGGCCGCAGGCAGATTGCATGTGTGCAAAATTTGGACTGGGGGTGTGCACATTTTTTCGCGTGCCAACCCCTGCAACCCGGGCAGCGCTTGTAGCCCCGACTCTCTCCTCTCCATACTTCTCCTTGCCTCGCTAGACACACAGAGCATTGAATATTTCTGATAAAGGTACATAGCACAGGGTCGGCGTCTGGCACCGGCGGGCGCAATCGGGCGGCCAAGGGAATGCAACAATTGATTCAGCCTTCCTTCTCCCAAACTTAGGAGCAACTCTGACATTTCCAAGAAGCGACACAGACCGTGGTTCCGTTAGCAACCAGCTCTAGAGAAAACCAAAACTACCAATAGGGATCAGACTACTGCTTGGCGTCTATCACTATCTCAAGTCTTTCGTCGAGACCGTTTATTACCAACTTTTGCAATGAGCGAAGCCGTGGCAGCAGAGGGTGAGTTTGCGTGGGGTCCGTACACAGAGCGCCTGAACGGGCTGGTGACAGCATCGCGTGTCAACGACCGACGCGCCCTGTTTACCGCCGATCTCATGCCACAGATCGCCGCGCACCCGCTCAGCGACAAGGAGCTGGTGGGGCTGGTGCGCACGCTCACACTGACGGTCTCTCGCTACGTCGACCGCGAGTCGCGCAGCCTCGTGCTGGCAGCGCTCCGGGAGCTTAGCGTCAAAAAGGCCAGCGTGTTTGTAGAGGTCATTGTCGGCGTGCTTGGGCCGATCGTGGCCTCGGCGCAGCCCAAGACCAGCGACTCGCCTGACATGGTGGGGCGCGACACCGGCGGCCAAATTCGTGCTGCTGACGTGGATCAACCTGGCGCTGCCAGTTCCGGTCACGCAGCTGAAGAAGGATCCGGCCGAGCTGGAGAAGAACACGGCGTGGGTGAAGCTGGTGGAGATGGCGGCGCTTCTGATCTGGGGCACTTCGCCGTCCAGCGCCAGCATCAAGGACCAGAAGATCAACTCGGTATCGAATAGCGCACATCACGATGTCTGGCGCACGCTGCGCTCATGCCCAGTCCTGACAGCGCCGATGCTGAGCATCTTAACGCGCCCAGCAAGCGGCAGCGAGGCAGGTGTGCTGATCGTAACATTGTCGGGACAGCGATCCGTCTGGCGGACAAGCCCGGCAAGAGTGGCGATGGCGGTGCGGCGCTGAAGCAGGTTGAGCAGTTCAAAGACACGATCGTTTCGTACATTGACAAGGTGCTGATCAGTGCAAAAGGCACCAGTTTCGTATGCCAGCGTAGCGGATCCTGGGCGACTTCTTGCGGCGGTTCGTTTGCAGCGGACTTCGACAAGCTGTTCAAGCCGTCGATTACCAAGATGCTGCTGCGGTCACCGGAAGCTGTGCTGCCGACGTGCTACTGGCTGCTGAAGTGTCTGAGCAACCGATGTTGATCTGGCCGCAGTATACATTGACATGTTTGCTGACCAGATCGCCAGCAACCTGCTCAAGAGCTCAAAGGACAAGGTGCGCGAGACCGCTGCCCTGCTGTTTGAGTCGCTGGCCAGCACACCGCGCTCGATCGAGGATGCCACCAAGGCGGCCGAGATTGCCACCAAGCCGCTGACTGCCGGCCGCTACCACGCAGGCAGACCACCGCGTAGTGTTCTACAATCTGCTGGGCAGTGTGCGCGCCGGGCCTGGCAACGGGTGGGCGTCGTCGGTGGCGATCTTGCCTGCTCTGCTGAAGATGACAGCCAAGGAGACGCAGGAGGCGCCTGTCAACGCAGTACTCAGCGCTATTGGCAGCCATGTCAGCGTTGTAATCGAGTATCTGCGCACGGCCGAGGCTGGTGCTGACGGTGCTGCGCAGTGGTGAAGAGGCGCTGAAGGCGTTCTCGGACGCAGCCAAGAAGGGCCTGGCGCTTCCGGACAAGTCGGCGCTGGTGGCGGCAGGCGTGGGCGGCCCAATGCGATCGGTGAACCCCTGTGGTCAGCAGTCGCGCCAGCTTGGCGGGTCGACCCACCTGTGGTTTGCGTCGTCCAGTCCACCCGCTGGTGCAGGCGCTGGCCGCAGTCGCTGTGAAGGCCGCAGCAAACCCGCTCCACTGCTGGCACAACCCTGGAAGCCCATGTCGGAGTAAGCGCTGGCCCTGCATTCGGCTGAGCCCATTCCCAATGCCAATGCCAACGACCTCATTGACCTCGTCACTGGTCCGAAAAGTCGCTCCTGCTGTGGGACAAGGTGTACCACAAGGCTGCCAGCCCACGCGAGCTGACGTGGGTGCTGCGTGCAGCCGAGATGCTGTTCAACAATGGCTGCAGCGACCCGCGTCTGGCTGGTCTGATTACCTGGTCTCTGTGCCGCTTCCCAGAGCCCACGCTGGCGACTACTCGGGGAGCCCTGCAGGTTGTCCAGGCAATGAGCACCAGCGATGCTGCCAGGCTGTGGGAGCTGGTAGAGCCAAGCTTTGTGGCTGAAATGGCCAAGTCGCTGGAGCTGGAGCGCATCAGGTACAAATGGACGGGGATTCTGGCGGCAGTCGCATCAGGAATCAACGCCGAGGAAGTCTCGCAGGAGAAGAAGAGCGACGTGCTGGTATCCATGGCCTTGGCGGCGCACCACCCGGCAGTTCTGAAGGAGTCGGGCCGCTCGAGCTTCTGGATTGAGACCATCCTGCGCGCGCGCGCGGACCCAGGTGAGCTGTGCCACGGGTTCCTGGCGGCACTGCGGCAGGCGATCGAGCTGGCCATGCAGGGCTCGTCTGAGGGCGGCCAGGCACAATTTGACTCGGCAGTCAACCTGATCAAGGATCTGGTGTTCATCGGCAGCGACAGCGTTGCGCTGCGGCTGCTCGAGTTTGCCCGCGAGAGCATCAATCCTGACAGCCTGAGCCTGGTTTCGCAGCACGACATTGCAGTGTGGCGGACTCCCAAGGACCAGCTGCTGGAGGACCCAGTTGTCGAGAAGGAGCGTGCCAAGCAGGGAGGCAAGAACAAGAAGGACGACTGGGAGGCTCAGCTGCGGGAGGAGCTGGCGCGCAAGCACAACAAGGTGCGCAAGCTGACCAGCGAAGAGCAGGAGATGGTTGACAAGCAGTGGGCCAAGGAGAATGCAGCGCGTGCCAAGGTTGAGGCGGCCTACCATGGACTGACCTGCGGTCTGGCGACCGTCAGGGCTGTGGTCCGCGGCAGCTTGAGTGTGGCCAGCACGTGCATGCTGGAGCTGGTGCGTATTGTTGTCGAGCGGGCTGTCATTGGCGGTGGTTCCGTCAGCGAGGCTCTGGCAGGCGAGGCGATCCGCGACACGCTGCTGGACATGAGCAAGGCTGCCGACGGGCTTGAGGAGGCGCTGCGCACGCCAATTGCCATGGGTCTGCTGCGGCGCGCGCGGCTTTGCCAGCGTGATCCCCCAGGGCTGGCTGTACGAGTCCATGGAGGACCTGGCCACGCGTCTGTACTACAGCCTGCGCGTCAGCTGCGAGCACCAGCCACTGCCTTCGGCCGGGTTCAACTTTTTGTTCCCGTTCATGCAGGCGACCTCTGAGCAAGGCGGCTGGGGCCGCAAGATCAAGCGTGGGGTTGAGGAGCACGACGAGTATGCGCAGATGGACCACGCAGCCGAGCAGCTGACGATGGTAGTGGCCATTCTGGGCTTCCACGCGCACTTTGGCAATGTCTCCGAGATGCCGCGCAAGGAGAT